ACATTAAACCATCCCTGCATACCAGGGATAAATCCCACTTGGTCTGGGTGGATGATCTTTCTGATGTGTTGTTGCATTCTATTGGCGAGAATTTTATTGAGGATTTTTGCATCTATGTTCATCAGGGATATTGGTCTGTAATTCTCTTTCAGTGCTGCATCTTTCTCTGGCTTAGGAATTAAGGTGATGCTGGCTTCATAGAAAGAATTTGGGAGGACTCCCTCTTCTTCGATTGTTCTGAATAGTTTGAGAAGAATTGGAGTTAGTTCTTCTTTAAACGTCTGGTAGAATTCAGCAGTGAATCCATCTGGTCCTGGGCTTTTCTTTGTTGGGAGGGCCTTTATTACTGTTTCAATTTCTGTCTCAGTTATGGGTCTGTTTAGGTTTTCGATGTCTTCCTGGTTCAATTTAGGCAGGTTGCATGTGTCCAGGAATCTATCCATTTCTGATAGGTTTCCCTGTTTGCTGGCATACTAAGCTGATCTTCTGTATATTAAGATAATCGAAAATGAACCTTGATGTGAATGGAAGGGGAGAGGGAGTGGGAAAGGGGAGGGTTGTGGGTGGGAGGGACGGTATGGGGGGGAAGCCATAGTAATCCATTATTCGTACTTTGGAAACGTATATTCATTAAATAAAAGTTAAAAAAAAAAAAGAATCAGATTGAATATACAGACCTAGGTGACTGTTGTAGACTGGTGAAAGCTTTGGCAGGTGAATACACATTCAAATATAATTTGAGAGTTTTACTAGAAAGCACGTGTTCTGAAACAGATTTTGCATTTCATTGTGCAATAGCACCATCCAGTTGTCAGAAAGACCAGCTACAGTAAAGAATTCCACCAGGCCTCCAAGGTCTGAATACAGCCAGCAGCCTGCTGTCTACACAGCAACACAGAATCCCCTGTTAACATTGAGAACTGTCAATGAAAATCATTCGTTTTTGGCTGGCGCCGTGGCTCACTTGGCTAAATCCTCTGCCTGCGGTGCCAGCACCCCAGGTTCTAGTCCCGGTTGCTCCTCTTCCACTCCAGCTCTCTGCTGTGGCCTGGGAGGGCAGTGGAGGATGGCCCAAGTGCTTGGGCCCTGCACCCACATGGGAGACCAGGAGGAAGCACGTGGCTCCTGGCTTCGGATAGGTGCAGCGCACTGGCCATAGTGACCATTTGTGGTGTGAACCAATGGAAGGAAGACTTTTTAAGCAAAAAGCAAAACAAATTCACTTCTTTTAACCTTTTTGGGGTAAGCAATGGACACTGAAGATGCATTTTATTCTTCTATTCTTCCTCTGCAAAATAACACAAGGTGAGAAATTAAGAGTACACTCAGCTGACTCAATTTGCCTGATTTGATCACTTCTAGTCATGTACCCAGCTACCCAGATGTACAAAGGGAACACCACAGTAGAGACCAAATGGACTGAAGAGGGGGTGACATGGATTCTGAATGGGGACCCTAGCAAGACTTCAGAGAATGCACATCAGCTGAGCCTGAATAGATGGATCTTAACCAAGGCAGTCGGAGCATGGCCATGTTCAGAAATGGTGAGGGAAGCAGGAAGATACTGCTGTGCATCAAAAAGACATGGTAGGATGTTTTCATGTCTGTCTGCCTCACTGAGATCTAAGTGGAGAAGAGAGGCTGGTCTTGTTGATCCAAAGTCAAATCACTCCTCAACTTCATAAAATCTGAGCCCTTCACAAATGCACTGAATCTCCAAGGACTTTCTAAACCAAGGGGAGGAATCTGGGCATAGCTCTGAGATAGTGGGCGGTCTTGGGAATTTTAAGCAGAATTATTGCATTTACCTTACCTAGATTTAGTACAGAGAAAGAACTGAAGTGGGGCAAGGATAGAGGGGAAAGTTAAGACAGTTACAGTGATCGTGATCATTATAATAACCTCTGCCCGATGCCTTCAGAATTATTTTCCCAATTTCACAGCCTCCATTTCCAAACCTTCCATGGTGCTCTGCTGTATACAGAATGAGTTCCAAAGTACCAAGCAAAGCCATCAAAGTCCTTCAGAATTGGAATCCATTCTACCTTTCTAGTTTTTCCTCTTGCTACCTCCTTTCCTATACTCTGCCTCCAGGGAGTGAGGATTTCTTAAATATGCTACAGGTATGTGCCCGGTTGTGCTTATTAAGGTTCCTATGCCCTCTTAGAAGTTGCTTGTGTTCCTACAGCATGATTTCATGCTGCCTTATGTCACAATGAAGTTCTCTGAGGGCCATGATGGTGACTTATTCATCTCTACGCCTCCACATTGTTAGCCTAGTATTTTACACATTAGACACACTTGGCAACTACTTCTTTAGTACTGAATTCTAACTGTAGCACTTGTATCTGAATTCATGTACTATTCATCGAGCTCCAGAAATTATGAACAAAAAGCTTGATCTGTGTAAACTCGTTAAAATGTACAACACAGGCTGGCACTATGGCACACTGTAATGCCCTGACCTGCAGTGCCGGCATCCCATTTGGGTGCCAGTTCAAGTCTCAGCTGCTCCACTTCTGATTCAGCCCTCTGCTATGGCCTGGGACAGCAGCAGAGGATGGCCCCAGTCCTTGGGCCCCTGCATCCATGTGGGAGACCCGGAAGAAGCTCCTGGCTCCTGGTTCCGGATTGGCTCAGCACCGTTGTGGCCATTTGGGGAGTGAACCAGCGGAGGGGAAGACCTTTCTCCCTTTGCCTCTGCCTCTCTGTAACTCTTTCAAATAAATAAAATAAATCTTAAAAATAAAATGTACAACACTGCACAGGAATTTTTGAAAAGTTAAAAACAAAGTTAAAAGAGGAATTGGGGGAAATGTTACTAAGAGATCAGGGGAAATTGGGGAAAGACATGACAAACAGGTAATTCCCTTTTTTTTTTTTTTTTTTTTTTTGACAGGCAGAGTGTACAGTGAGAGAGAGAGAGAAAGGTCTTCCTTTGCCATTGGTTCACCCTCCAATGGCCACCGCGGCCGGCATGCTGTGGCCGGCGCACCGCGCCTATCTGAAGGCAGGAGCCAGGTGCTTATCCTGGTCTCCCACGGGGTGCAGGGCCCAAGCACTTGGGCCATCCTCCACTGCACTCCCTGGCCACAGCAGAGAGCTGGCCTGGAAGAGGGGCAACCGGGACAGAATCCTGTGCCCCGACCGGGACTAGAACCCAGTGTGCCAGCGCCGCAAGGCGGAGGATTAGCCTACTGAGCCACAGCACCAGCCCGGTAATTCCCTTAATATACCAAAAGTAACCCAAGTTATCTTAAAAAAAATAGGAAAAGAAAATGAATATGCTTATTCCATTGTTTTCATCCATCAAATGGATAATTAATTTTAAATTGTCCAGGGGACTAGGGATGTCCAGAAAGAAATATTTCGGAGTTTGCATTGTGGTACAGTGGGTTAAGCTGCTGCTTGCTATGGTGGCATCCAATATTGGAGCACCTACTCAAGTCCTGGCAGCTCTGGTTCCAATTCAGTGCCCTCCACTGTGCCTGGCAAGGCAGCAAAAGATGACCCAAGTGCTTGTGCCCCTGCCACCCACATGGGAGACCTGGATGGAGTTCCTGGCTCCAGACTTCAGCCAGGGCCATTGTGGCCATTTGGAGAGTGACCTAGTAGATGGAAGATTGTTCTGTCTCTCTACCTTTCAAATAAAACAAAAAAAAAAAAAAAAAAAAAAAAAAAAAAAAAAAAAAAAAAAGGAAAAACCTACAGTCTTTGTGGGAGTGATCATGGGTGTGTGTTCATATCAGGAATTACATAAAAAAATTTAAATCTAAAAACCTACAACCTAGGAAATTCAATTCATTCTTAGAAATTTATAATGCAGATAAACACATGTACAGACATGACTGATTGATGCAACCTTGTTAAAATAGCATACCATCAACAAGAAATTGGTTCAATAATAGTATACCACACAATGAAAACTGCAGCCACTGGGAGAAATGAAATAAATCTATAATTGTCAATGGAAAATTATTCCAAAGTACATATTTAAGAGAAAACAGCAAGTACCCTACAGCTCACATACCATTAAGCTTCCTTTGTGTAAAACACGAGAAAAAGTTCATAGAAAATGGCATTAAAAGATAATGCACATTTTCCACAAACTTTTCAAGACCTCCAGTATGCAGATATGCATGTACATGCATGGAAAATCTTGAAAGCCCTTCACAATGGCTGCATGAGTGGCAGATTTACTACAGGTATCATAAACCATTTTGAATTTTTAGGACCAGCATGTTTTTCAATATATTCCATTTTAAAAGCCATCACCTTGCCAAATACACACACTTGTTCATTTTATATTAGACACAATCCAGGCATCATAGAAATAACCATGAATGATATTGCTTATGTCCCCCACGAGCTCACAACTAGATAGGGTGACTCAAAAAGAATTGCTTGTACTATAGACAGCAAGCACACCATCCTCCCACCCCTTGGGAATCCATAAAGGGATGCCCCCCATGAGATGCACATGATGCAGTAAAACACCTGATATACATATTTTGTTAGTTGATATCAAAGGCTTGTCTGATGCCAGCATTTCTCGCAGCACCCAGTTATAGCCCAACACAATTTATCAAGTTAATTACTGTCATTCCTTGTAAACTGGAATCCTGGACAGAAAAATACATCAAATTTAACAGTTATGATAAGGAAAACCACTGAGATCCTGCCCATCAAAAGCAGTATAATGAAAGAAAAGTACACTCAAGTTATCAGGATCAGTATGAAGAAGCAAACAAGGAATCAGGGGATCATGAAGATTTAGAATTGAACAGTTCTGCCAGGACAGTCATTACATATGAGTTAAGGGATTGCTAATCAAAAAAACTCCAAAGCAATGAATCATTTTGTCATTCAAAGTACTTCACAGAAAACACAGAAACCAATCAAAGCCATTACTACAAAGCCACAGAAATCAAGAGTGTGGTGCTGACAGACAGACAGACATATTCACACAGATCAGTGGAACACAACTGAAACTCCAGAAATAAACTCTCACTCATAACCAGTTTATTTGCAACAAGGGTGCTGAGACAATTCAATGGAGGAAATAGTTTTTTTCAATAAATAGTGCTGGGGCAATTGGATAGCTACATGCAATAGTGAAGTTAGACTCCTAACTCATACCATATGCAAAAATTAAAGTGGATTACAGACCTAAATGTAAGAGCTAAAACCATAAAATTCTTCGAACAGGTGCCCATGCCCATGAATTAGACAATGCTTTCACAGATGACATCAAAAGCAACAAAAGAAAAATAAATTGGATTTCATAAAAATTAAAAACTTTTGTGCTTCAAAGGACACCAGAAAGTGAAATTATAACTCACATGGGAGGAAATTTTCACAAACCATGTTATAAGGGACTTGTATTTGTATATAATAACTCTTACAACTCAACAAAACCAAATTTAAAAATGGGTAAAGAACTTGAATAGACATTTATCTAACAGTACACAAACAACCAATAACATGCATATTAAAAGATGATCAACATTGTTAGTCATCAGGAGCATGCAGAGGAAAACCACAAGCAGATTCCTGTTCATATCCACTTGGTTAGCTATAACCAAAGTCAGATAACAAATATTAAAGATGTGGAGAAATTAGAACCCTTATATAGTACTCCTGGATTATAAGGGTATGGCCACTTTGGAAAAGTTTGGCAGTTCCTCAAAATGTTAAGCTTAGTTACCATATGACCCAGCAAATCAAGTCCTAGATACACTTCCAAAGAGAAATAAATGCTCACACAAGGAGGGCATTGGTGATAAGGCAGATGTCCATGTCTAGGAAGTGCTTAGTAATAAAGCAAAAGTGGGAAACAATTTGAAAACTGAAGAGCTATGTCAGGACAAATAGCTACAAGCCGAATGCTGATACTGGTAAGTACAAAGAGATGCCATTAAAATTTTAAACTCTTAAGCAAGCAGGGTTAAAATGAGTGTCACACAAATAGGTAGTAATTCTTTTCAGCTGCTATTTTAATCCATCATTTTTATAACAGCCAATACAAATCAAAACAATTTTTCTAACAATCCATTTTTATTCAAGTAGGATCCTATTTAATAATGAAGGTCACATGTCTTAAAAACGTCTGAGCTGGGCTACGGACTCCAATGGACAGTTCACTGCCAGCAGCCGTTAAAATAATGCTCTTTGCTTGCGACACTAGCATCCCACATGGGAATGTTGATTCTTGCTGCTAATATGCCTAGAAGGCAGCAGAAGATGAACCAGGTATTTGGGCCCCTGCCACCCAAGTAGGAGGGCAGGATGGAGGTCCTGGATCCTGGTTTTGGCCTGGTCCAGATCTGGCTTTTGCAGCCATTTGAGGAATGCACCAGCGGATGGAGGATTGCTCTCTGCCTTTCCCTCTATCACTTTGCCTTTAAAATAAATAAATATTTTAAAAATAACAATACTGTTGATGCAGGATCCAATGAAGAGAAGAGAGACAAGCAATTTGATTTCATTCATTTTCTATTATATAATAAACACCTTCTTTATATTCAAATTATTCTGTAAATGAAAAAAACTGGATTTTCAAAAGGCAGTGGGTCTACGGAGAGCTGCACATAACCCACAAGTCACCATACTGAAGAACCTTCTAGTCTCAACCCAGTACTGCATTTCCCTGAACTCCCTGCCCTGCCCCAACCGCCACTATATCCTACCTTGCCCACCTCACCCCACAAAGAGAAATCCTACTCCTGAGGGAATCAGTTTCTTTTTTCCCCTTTCTGTGGTTGGGCTATCCAATGTTTATGGATTTTATTCTCAGAATCTTATAACTCAGTCTTTCCTTAAAGAGAAAAACTTCTTTTTCATGTCACTTCTTTAGGATAACCTTTCCAGGACCATTTCCCCTGTAGCGAATGTACCAATGAAAGGTAACTGAGTGAAGTAAGGAGGTTTTAGGAGCAGGTCAGGGATTCAAGGCCCAGCACACAGCTACCTGCAACTTACCTCTCCAGCCTTCCCTCATCACTGCTCCACTCACTGGGAGCGGGCCACAGAAAGACAGTTCTCCAAACGTGGGCTTTCCAACTGCCACAGTGTTACCCGCATCATCCATCTCCTATTTCCTTGGAAACACTGCCCTCACTCCAGGCCCATTACTTCTTTACTTGTTCACATCGTACTTGAAAACCTCAACTCTTCATATAACCTGTACTAACACTCTTGGCCCTATAAGAAGTAATGTAAGCTCAGTGTCACAGCGAGCCAATGACATGCCAGCATCATGGCACTGAGAGCAAACACCAAAGACACAGGTCAACATTCCTTGGTCTCCCCTTGTAGAACTTAAGATCTGTCTGGGTGAGGTGGGAAAAGTCTCAATATTGCAGCAATCGCTTATTTAAAATATTCATCTGCTTCCAAGTTACACAAACAATTTTAATGCAAACATTCAATAGGGCAGCTTTCCCATTGCTCCCAAGATTTCAGCTCTTTCTGCTGCTGTTGGCATAGGTGGCTTCACTCCATTCTGTCTTCTTTGGACCATGACAGAATTCTGTGTGTAGGAATAAAATAAGAAGAATTCACAATCAGTCATGTTTTAAATGCTATACACTTTTCAGGAATTTGCTATTGTTTCCTCAAAAAGAATGTTTTAAAAACCAAGTTAAACCCTACAACCTGATTCTAAGACTCCAAATAAATGTCTTCAAATTATTAAGAATTAACTATGAGAAACGGTGACTTGATCAGCCCTCGCCCTGACTGTTGATGAACAACTTAATATGTTATCCCTCTTAGTATTTTTGTTTGTTTGTTCTACTTAATACTTTTGGTTGAATACTGTAACCAATACACAATTATTCTTAAGTGTCAGCACTTAACTGAAAAGTGATTGCTGTTAAATATAAGAGTGGGAATAAGAGAGGGAAGAGATGTGCAATTCGGGACATGCTCAAAATGACTTACCTCAAACGGTAGAGTTAGAAACATACCAGGGGATTCCAATTCAATCCCATCAAGGTGGCATGTACCAATGCCATCTCACTAGTCCCAGTGATCAATTTCTGTTCACAATTGATCATAATGATAGGACTAAGAACCAAAGGGATCACATAAACAAGAATAGTGTCTGCAAATACTAGCTGATAGAATCAAAAAGGGAGAGAACAATCCAACATGGGAAGTGAGACACACCGCAGACCCATAGAATGGAAGATGTCCTAAACAGCACTCTGGCCTCAGAATCAGCCCTTAAGGCATGCAGATCTGGCTGAAAAGCCCATGAGAGTATTTCAGGCATGGAAAGCCAAGACACTCTGGAAAAAAAAAAAAAAAAAAACTAAATGAAAGATCTCTGTGAGTGAGATCCCAGTGGAAAGAACAGGTCATCAAAGAAGGAGATACCTTTCTCTGAAGGGAGGAGAGAACTTCCACTTTGACCATGGCCTTGTCTAAATATGATCAGAGTCGGTGAACTCAGGGGGCTTCCGTAGCCTTGGCAGCTCATGACAAGAGCCTAGGGTGATTACTGATGCCATAAACAAGAGTGTCAATTTGTTAAGTCAACAACAGGAGTCACTGTGCACTTACTCCTCATGTAGGATCTCTGTCCTTAGTGTGCTGTACATTGAGATTTAATGCTATAACTAGTACTCAAACAGTACTTTATACTTTGTGTTTCTGTGTGGGAGCAAACTGTTGAAATCTTTACTTAATGTATGCTAAACTGATCTTCTGTATATAAAGAGAATCGAAAATGAATCTTGATGTGAATGGAAGGGGAGAGGGAGTGGGAAAGGGGAGGGTTGCGGGTGGGAGGGACGTTATGGGGGGGAAGCCATTGTAATCTATAAGCTGTACTTTGGAAATTTATATTAATTAAATAAAAGTTAAAAAAAAAGAATTAAATTGAAGGGATTATTCTCACAGGAACATTCACAACAAGTGGCATGGAATAATAATGGGTAAGCACAAGGGTACAAGAATATATGAGGGGCCATCGCTGTGGCATAATGGGTAAAGCCACCGCCTGCAGTGCTGCCATGTCATTGGCTTGCTGTGCATCCCATATGGGCGCTGCTTCTAGTCCTGGCTGCTCCACTTCTGATCCAGCTCTTTGCTGTGGCCTGGGAAAGCAGTAGAAGATGGCCCAAGTCCTTGGGCCCCGGAACCCACGTGATAAACCTGGAAGAAGCTCCGTGCTCCTGGCTTCGGATCAGTCCAGCTCCAGCTGTTGTGGCCATTTGGGGAGTGAACCAGCAGATGAAAGACCTCTCTCTCTCTCTCTAACTCTGCCTTTCAAATAAATAAATAAATCTTTAAAAAAAAAAAAAGAATATATGAGGGGACTTCAAAAGCTTCATAGAAAAGTAGAGGTAAAGGATAAATTTTGGTACAGAAAATTTGGAAATCCATGCATAATTTTTTCATAAAACATATCTTCCATGAACTTTTTGAAGACTCTCTAGTATAGTTCACCAAGAAGAGCTACTAAGTAATGACTAAATGAAACCAACAGTCCATTTAGCAAAGAGAAAATAAATAGCTGAGTCCAGTTCTTAAGGAAACAAAAATTATACATCAACATCTTATGAAAAACGTGATCATTTTAACTCCCAGGGATGGCAGTGGGAGAAAAGGCAGAAACGGAAGTGTACTGTGACGTCTCGTGGAGGGGTAAGTTATAGGTTCTATTCATCTCAGAGTTATTTTTTTAGGGCTGCAGACACATACATACTTAGTAAGACTCACATTGAAACTGCATTTTTATACTTTACAGTAGGATGAGGTATCAAGAGCACTCAAGGTCTCTTTAGGGCTGAAATAACACAGGGAAGACACAATTGGAAAGTTAAGCTTCACTAAAGCCATCACTGGAGAAAAAAGGGATTGTGGGTACTAAGTAATTTCAGGTCTCAGTTCCAAGTCAAAGAGATGGGTTTTCAATGTAAAGCTAACCAAGCGAGGCTTACCCAGAATCTTCGGCAATTTTTGTACTTCAAGAAGTAACTGGAACACCTTTCTTTGTCATAGTTGTTTTCATCCATACACCTGGTAGATGCATCAGATTCCTTAAGTATGTAAGAGAGGCATCACTTAAAACGTGGGATGGGGTCCAAAACAAACAAACTCTTCTGAAGCTGCTTCCCCCTAAATGAACAATTTCACATTATGTGCTTTTTTTTGTTCAATTTAAAGGGTGGAGTAGACACTAATAAGAAACTGAACAATGTGGTCAATTATCTCAGCACTTTCTGCTCAGGCAGACATTTCTCTTTTTCACAGTCAGGCCCAGTATTTTGAATAACTGAATAACAGGAATTTGAGCCAAAATACTAACTGGGATCATCTAATCCAGTAACCACTTAGCAAGAAACTAAAGCAAGGCACAAAACACTCAAAATGTCTTCTCAAGAGAGTTGGAACTCAGTCTCCCAACACACAATCAACTCTCTTGCTTTTCCAGATTCTCACTTTGACTTGAATTTTGATCTTAATGTTGGCATGGGGATTCCAAGTAAATCACTATTAACTGGTCTACATCAAGTCACCCTAAATTAACACCATTCATCTCAATGTATTTTGGGCTACTAGTCATTCCAGAATGCAAGTAAACAATTTATGTATGTCATATTGATTGATGTCATGAACATCACTTCAAAACCAAAGTGAGCAACATCAGTCTATGAGTTCAATGGAGAGTAGCTGCCATTTGGGAATTAAGAGTAAAGCCGTCTCAACCAGAAGTAGACTGGAGAGCAAACTTCAAAGGGAAGGGTATGAATGTGAGAAGTCATCTAGTAGAAAACTTTAATGAAATGGGTGGGTGATTTCCTTCACAGGCATAAGAAACATGTTCTATCTAAATAAACAGTAAAACTTTTGAAAACTGAGCTAATATACAGAACAAAGCTAAATTCTATGCCAAATATTTAATGAATGTATATTATTTAGAAAATGTTCATAGGATTGGGGAGATATACAATTTTTCACAGCACCCATAAGAAGACTATTTTTCAAGGGTGGCAAAGCTACATGTCAGTATTGAGGGTCATACCAGATAAATGCCAGTGAAAAGGTATTATCACAGCAAAACCTTTTGTTTATAAGATACCTTTGTGAAAACCTTTACTTTTTTTTTTTTTTTTAAGATTTATTTATTTACTTGAAAGTCAGAGTTACACAGAGAGAGAAGGAGAGGATGAGAGAGAGAGAGAGAGAGAGAGACTGGTCTTCCATCCGCTGGTTCACTCCCCAGTTGGCTGCAATGGCTGGAGCTGTGCCAATCTGAAGCCAAGAGCCAGGAGCTTCTTCCAGGTCTCCAACATGGGTACAAGGGCTCAAGGACTTGGGCCATCTTCCACTGCTTTCCCAGGCCATAGAAGAGAGCTGGATCGGAAGTGGAGCATCCGGGACTCGAACTAGTGTCCATATAGGATGCTGGCACTGAAGGCAGCAGCTTTACCCATTACGTCACAGCGCCGGCCCCAACCTTTACTTTCAATAGGCTAATTAATTCTATTACTAGTCCATTATTCTTAGCCAGGTTGGCTCAAGGACAAGATGAAATTACTGCTATTAAAACCATAAACTGGGGCCAGCACTGTGGCATAGCAGGTAAAGTCACCGCCTGCAGTGCCAGATCCCAAATGGGCACCGGCTAGAGTAATATAAGATGGCCCAGGTCCTTTGGCCCCTGCACCCATGTGGGAGACCCAGAAGAAGCTCCTGGCTCCTAGCTTTGAATCAGGCCAGTTCCGGCCATTGTGGTCATTTGGGGAGTGAACCAGCAGATGGAAGATAGCTCTCTCTCTCTCTACGTCTGCCTCTGTATAACTCTGCCTTTCCAATAAATAAATAAATCTTAAAAAAAACCCATAAACTTTAGATATAATAATAAAATGTAATTCCCTCCCAATTTTTGAGGTTTTGACTAAAGATATTTTCCTCAGTGTTACATATGCCTGTCTAGTTTTACAGTGATGACTAAATACTTGCATATTATACAGATAAAAAAAATGAAGAAAAGATGAATATTTGTTAGCTAAATTGTGAATATCTAAAAATGCTCTGGTGAAATAATCACAGCTAGCCAGAGTATTTTTTGTACAGAAATAACTTGATTCAACAACTGCAGAAAACAGATGTCCACAAATTTAGAAGAAGCCTGCTTTCCCAACTTAACACTCGAGAAAATGAAAAACAAACTACCATACCAACAAACAAGGATTCACGTCAGGATCTCGCAGCCGCCGCGTTACCAAGGGCATGGTAAGAGTCTTCTTACTGAAGGGACGTAGGGGAAAAAAAGAATTAGGAAATCAGTGGTAGAAAATCAATCAATAAATCTCTCAAGCCTTACAAGTTCTTGAAATTCAGTTTTGGCATCATGATCACCTAGTAAAAGACTTTGCATATACTTTATATTTTGAGAATAAAGACTTGGATATGTATATGCATGTGTGTATTTATACTGTCACTGGTACCTCAACATCGAGGCCACACTGGAATCTTTCTATCCAATAAGAGAGATGAGTCAAATGTAATTCAGTTCTAGTTTACACTTGTTTCTTAAGTTTAAGCAACTAAAATACTAACAAAACTAACATCCACTGATTACCATACAAAATAAAGATTTAATTTAGTTGTGCTCAGCTTTAACAAAAAATCTTTTTATCAACTAAAGGATCAGAGTGCCTATCACACTGTGTGACCAGCACTAAGGTAGCAATACATCAAACAGGCAAGTTAACACCTATAGAGGTTTTGAAAAGACATGTTAAAATTTTACTTTCAGTGCCATCTTCTACCTCAGATTTCTCTTGGTTAAAAGAAGTCAGGGAGTAGTAATATTGTTCAGTAATCTTCCAACTCAAATCTTAGAAATTCAGCTTTGTAAATGCATTTACTGATTAAAGATGATCACAGTTCTGAGTGTCAATTAGTACAAGTAAGTGCTCTACTCAGGTAATATGTATGTCTACTATATCCCAGGGAAATCGCTCTCTCCCAAAGAGTCAAATGAAATTGACATATGTCTGTTATCCTCAAAGAAATATTACAGAAAAAAACTGAAAGAGAACACTCAAAAAAGAATAGCGGGGCCGGCGCTGTGGTGCAGCGGGTTAAAGCCCTGGCCTAAAACACTGGCATCCCACATGGGTGCCGGTTCAAGACCCGGCTGCTCCGCTTCTGATCCATCTCTCTGCTATGGCCTGGGAAAGCAACAGAAGATGGCCCAAGTCCTTGGGCCCCTGCACTCGCGTGGGAGACCCGGAGGAAGCTCCTGGCTCCTGGCTCCAGACTGGCGCAGCTCTGGCCGTTGTGGCCATCTGGGGAGTGAACCAGCAGAAGGAGGACCTCTCTGTCTCCACCTCTCTCTGTAACTCTTTCAAATAAATAAAATAAATCTCTTTTTTAAAAAAAGAATAGCTAAATACCCCAATTATTTCAGTGATTTTGTTTGTTTGTTTCAACATACTATTAACAAACCATCCACAATATTTCAAAATGCTCTGGGTTAAGGAGCTGTTTTAATTTATATTTTTAAATTGTTTCAGTGTAATCATTCTTCCACCTAAAGCTTTAAGGAGAAGCCAGCAAACAAAGCAGTGCAACCTACCAAACTCCACTGAATAAAATAATACACTGGTCAGTATAAATAGCTAGTGGTCAGAATTTTTGTATGAAACAGTTCCTAATTTCCTTGGCCAAGATGGGACCATCAAAAAAAAAAATCAGTCATATTAATGTAAATAAAAGATACTTCTGGAAAAAACATCAAACCAAGGAAACTCCTAGTAACTGGAGACAATCTCAATCAAGATTCACCCAGTCACATTTCTTGTTATGGTAAAGCTAAGGGAGACCAACGTTTGCAAAGATGGAAATGGGATTGGCTATTCTGGAGTCCTTTAACTTTCCACGACTAACTAAACATTTCATGCTTTTCACTGAACAATACATGAAAATAATCAGCCAACAGAAGCAGCTTGGCAAAAAGGAAGCTCAAGATGCTGTCCAATTATATCTGGAAGCTCCTGTCCTGAACAAGATGCTTTTGCAGGGTGAATTCTTCCTAAGAAGAGATGCTGGTGCTACATAAATTCACAGCCTTCTTTTTATATTTACATCTATCTTATGAGGCCAGACCACAGCACCCTGCTCAGCAGTCTATACGCTTCGGATAAGATAATCTCAACCACCATCAGATGCAGGGAAAGATTTCAAGTTTCGTGTTTTACATGAACGTGTTCTACTCTATACTTTATCATCATCATCAGTGAGAATTCTTCAACAGCAACACTTAGGCACCATCACATGCCCCCGAGTCAGATCTGCTGCGTGAGTTTATTCACAGCGCTTTTCTTCTTCCTTCCGGATTTTAAAAACAAATCACTCTAGGCTCGTGTTTCCGAAGGTCACCTCCTCTGCACGAATTCCTTATCTACTACCTAGAAACGCAGAGGAATGTCAGTTTACAGAGAGGACCGGAGGGGCTCCACTGGAGGCCCTATCGACCCCTTTTGGAAGGCACAGTCCCCCCAAAATGTCACACGGCTCTGCCAGCTGCAGAGGACGGCAAACAAGAAAACCAAAGATTTCAGGAAGGGGCCGCAGAACCTCCGCACGTTGGAGGAACAACTTGAAATCCACTCTAAAGGGTAAACTGCTCCACCAAGTAGCCGGTTCCCCACACGGTCGTTCTCGGCCCCACTCTCCCAAGCACCTCAGAGGCAAGGGGGAAGGGAGCGTCACTGAACACTTCCAGGCCCACCGGCTGGTAGTAGCAGCCGGAGCAGGATCTGCGGCTCGGCCGCGTCCGGAAGCCGGGACCCACCGCGCCGTTAACCCACTGAGGGTGCAGAGGTCAAGCGCACGAGGTCGGGGGTGGCAAACCGGAGCGGGGGGTGGGGGAGGGAGATCGGAAGAGAAACTGCAGAGATGTCAGTCCGAGGCTTCGCCGCCTTCCACGGGGCTGCCGGTCAGAGTCTAGTCGTGGACGGCGGGCCCAGGTGAACGCACCTTGCTTGCCCCCCACCCCCACCCCGACGCTCCCGGGAAGGTCAGGGTGCGAGGAATACGCCGGGAATGGGGGGGGAGGGGGTGAAGACAAGCGATCGCGCTTCCAAGGCTGGGGTGGAGGACGAAGCTAGAGCTGGGAGGAGAAGGTGCCCGCACGCGGCAGCGGTCACCTTCCTGGCCCGGGCCGCACAGACCCCTGTGGCGAGAGGAGCCGCGTGAAGGGGGTCCGCGCTGCGGCTAGGCCCGACCAGGAGGAGACTAGAGGCCCCCGGGGCGGCCCAGGTGCACCCTTCTCTTCCCGCTTCCCTGCAGCGGCCGCGGAGGGAGGGGCGGGGAACCACTCACCTCGGGCCGCCGCTTCGCCACCACCCAGGCCGTCTCCAGCTCCAAACACGTCAATGGCTCACGCAGCAGGACCTTAAGTAGCGCGCACCCCAACATGCTGCCCCCGCTCCCCGGCAGCCGCCCGCCCAATCGGCGCGCGCTGCAGCCAGACTGACAGGCGCGTAGGACTCTGAGCGGCGGGGGCGGGCGGGCCTCGCCCCGCCCCCGGCTGGCGGGAGGAGGGCCAAGGCGGGAGGAGTGGGCGGGACGGGGCGCGAGGCCCCGCCCCCTCGCCCGCCCCGCCGCGCCCCCCGCGCCGCGGCCTGCTTCTTAACACTTCGGCTTGACGGGCGACGCCAGCGGCCAATCGGCCTGCCGGCCCGCGGCGGCGGCAGCGCGGACTGGCCGGCCCCGGGGCGGAGCTCGCGCGGGGGGCGGGCGCAGCGGCGGGTGGGGGCTGGGGGCGGGCCGGCGGGAGGCGGGGGCGGTGGCCGAGAAGGCCGGGGGAGGCGGCGGTGGGCGCGACGTCGGCGGCGGCGGCGGCGGCAGCGGCGGCGGCAGCGGCAGCTGCAAGTTGGGCTGCAGGGGCAGCGCATACACTACAATGGCTGCTGGAAAGAGGCGTAAGGAAACAATTTCCAGGCCCGCCGCGTCCAGCCCGAAATATGAGAAAAAAATTATTAGAAATTCCGCGGGCGGTGTAAAGGCGGCGGACGGGCCGGAGGGAGGATGTTAAAGCCCCGCGGTGAGTTCTCCCGGGGTCCGGGGCGGCGGAGAGGCGTTTAGCGGGAGAAATATCAGGGTTATTTAAATTATGGGACTAGCCGAGGGGGCAGAGGAGCAGCGGCGGCGGCAGGAGGAGGAAAAGTTTGTGCTACTCTCAGCCCCTGCTCAGGACCCCAGAGAGAAAAATAATAATAAAAAATAAAATAAAATAATTCGGCGGGGCTGCGAGGACTCCCGAAGTCGCTTCTGACAGGGCAGGGGGCGATGCGGCTGGGGACCTGAAGGTGAGGTCGGTGGGAAAAAAAAAAACGTTTTATAAAGGGTCTGGAAAGTTTGGAAAGTTTTCCTCCTCCTCCTCCTCCTCCTCTCTGGTGCTGTGAATATTGTGACAGCGGCAGCGGCAGCAGCGAGAGCGGAAGACATTAGAGACCCGAAAAATAAGGGAAAAATTAATATAAATTCAGTTTTGAGAGTAAACTCTCCGCATTTTCCACCAAAACATCCCGGGGGAAGGTCGCTTCCCAAAGGGCCTGGCGGAAACCCGCGGTCGGCAATATTTGGGGGGCACTTTGAGTGACTTGGGGTAACTTTGCCCCTTTTTCAAAAGAGGTTTTTCTTTTCTGGAGAAATGCATTTGTTTTGTGCCCTTTCCTCAGGTGGGCGAGCCGGGGTCGGGGTGCGGGGTCTGCGGGAGGTGTGAGCCCGGGGTGTGTGGCTGCTGGGGGGGGTAGGGGGAGGGGGTGCTAAATGAAAGCAGGAGATCGGCACACAGCAGGGACAGCTTGTTGTCAGTATCATAAACAACCAAAATGGAGGGAGAACTCAGGCATATAACCAAATAAAAATTTTTAAAAAATCGCAAAAAATCCCTAAAACTCCGGGATGCTCCCCCTTTTCTCGCTAAAGGTAAAAGGACGAACCGCCTTTCCCCTGAAGTCCATTTTGACTTTGCAGGGACCAAGGAGTTAATATTTATTTATTTTTTTAAAACTTTCGAAGGGCAAAAAGCCTTTTATAACTCAACCGACAATGAGAAAACGTGAAAATCCGATGCAAGAGAAGCAGGGGGAGGGAGGGGGGAGGTGTTAGTGCAGAAACTGCTAAACTTATTGGTAATGGGGACTGATCTGAGATAAGATAAACACTATATTTGCTATTTTATAACTCCCTTTTAATGATCTTTTCGGGGTTTGGTTTTTTTTTTTTTTTTTTGGTGGAAAAAAAAGTGATGCCATTTTCTTAATAGAGTTAATATGTGTGATTGGAAGAATAAACCTTTCCGGCTGTAGATTGCATTTTCGTCGCATTTATGCTTCAGGTTTTGTTGGTGGCTCCCTCCTTTCTTTAAACTGGGCTCTCCAGAGGAGGGGTAGAGAGGTGATGGTGTCCAGAGTCTGGACTGCCAGACTCGAGGACCTTTTTGGGGAGGGCTGGGGGAGCTGCTTGGTTTTTCTCTTCCTGACACGTTTGCTTCACCTGTTCATCCTCCCTAAAGAATGTTAAGCTGAGGTTTTCTGGTTTTACGTATAGACAAGGATGGTGCCTCTTGCATCACACTGATGTTAGTGGGAAAGTGCTGCTGATGTTGGTTCCACGTGGGATATGGGACAGAGCAGGGCATTTTAAAGGGACAGCCTCTCTTTTTTGATGGTTCTCATCACCTACACAGAATCACTGTTTGAGGGACCAGCTGCAGAGGTGCTGGGAGGGTGTGGTAAGGGAAGAGCCTTCTCTTTCCATTACTCAAGTGCACCCACCTTTGGGAGTGATGGAGGGAGAGGGGGGATAAACAGACTGCAGGGAAGGTGTGTGTGTGTGTGTGTGTGTGGACAAGAGTGTGTATCCAAGCTGCTGTTTTGTGTAACATGCCCTCCCAGGAACTTTTCATGTTACATCGCTTTGCTTTGGAAGCTGATTTTGGAAGGAATTGTGGAAAAATGGAAATAGTTTAAGGTGTGTGGTGTAATGGTATAGCATTATTGAACAGTTATGAATTCTGTGCAGTGAGATCAAAAAGCTATGTATGCCCATAATGTGATTTTACAGCCATTTTGTAAAAGCTGTAAAATACCTAATATTCACTTTAGCTTAAGCTATATTAAGGATTTCTGGTTGAAACTTACAGATAAAGTGATGAAGATTCTTTAACAGTGTAAGCAGTAAGACATTTCCTTGGGAGGAAAAAAGCACACATACCAGCACCATGGAAAAGTTTACATCTATATCCATTTTTAAAGCCCATCTTAGACATAATGCTGTAACTTTGAACCTTTGAAATGAAAAGATTTTTAAAACACTGAGACCTCTCAGTTTGCATCTTTTCAGTTGAATTTATTTGTGTTATTTAACAGGAAATGTTTACTGATCATGAGCTACTATCAGCTTTTACGTATTAGATTTCCACAGCATTTTCCAAATTTAAAATATTTAAGTTGTTAGACATACTGTATGTGGGAATTTAGGTTAATCTGGAATAGAAATTACTTGTGTTCTGTTTTCCGCAGGTATTTGGAGTTTTCTAAAATAAGCACCTATTTTCCTTTGTTTTTATGATTTATAGACGTGAATTAAAATTTGAGCTGAATTTTTAGACTCCTTATACAGAATGTTTTCTGTTGCCATACTGTTTAAGCAAAGCATCATTTTCTAGTGTGTTGTATGTGACCTTGTGTCCACAAATGAGTTATTATCCGCACCTTCCTGTAAATACCTCCTTAACAGTATGGCATTGGTGTAGTGTTTGAGTACATCATCTGTGGTTTCTGACTTTGGAAGCAATTATAACTTTCTGAGGACTCATTGAAAAATTAACCCCATGAAGCACTGTTAAACCAAAACTGATTGGAAAGGGATTAAGCTATCAATGGAGCAGAGGAGTCCCCCACCCACCACCAAGGTTCTGTGCAGAGGTTTCAGAATGCCATTGATGCTTAACAAAACCTTTGAAGTCTGTCTTACATGCTCTTTGTATTTTGGCTCAGGATGGTGACACTGACTCTTAAGTAGTCCCTCTTATGCTATGCTTTTCAAGTAAATGAGACTTTTAGATTTTGAATAGTTGCCACTATGGCAAACTAGATACTGATAGCAACTCAGTGTCTATAAAAGTGAAGGAGAAGTATTTCTGCCAGTTATACTAAATCATTGGGTTATTTAGATTGTTCCCACACTTCAAGTCACGATTAGCTTATTGTCAGCCTAAGGAAAAGTGCTGGTATTGTCATTTTTTTCCCTCTCTCTTTCATTTGATGGTATAACTTTCTTCGTGTTTGGATTATATACAACTAGCTACTTGTCTGAATTAGAAGATGTGTTCGTAGAGCACAAATATTAAATCTGTGATTCCTCAGACAATCTTAGATAGGGCACAGCACAGTAATGTGAACTGGTTATATTGGTCTTTCTTGATGCCTTAGAAATGCTACCTGCTGAATATCCCTTGTCTGAAAATAACATTAAATTATGCCAATTTACAGAAATAATCTAAAGATATTATATACTCAAAATCTTTATTTTAGTTAGAATTAGAGAAATTTCTTAGACTGAGAATCTTACTTAAAATTTACATTACTAATATTGCTATTCAAAATTCTATAAAGAATTGAGCTGCTGTGGAAGATGATTTTATTATAAGTGTGGGGTAATACTGATAAAATTCTATATCTGTATAGTTAGTATAACCAAAATATTTTAATATAGATATTTTACAGTTAGATAAATTAGTGAGTTTGCTTTCATCAATACAGTTTGAAGTTTTTAAGGATATTCTTTGTGTTTTAATATCACACAAAGATGGTGTTTTTTTCCTTCATTTTTAACATAATCCTGGTTGTTACTATATACATTTTAGTTTAGTATTTTGGAAGTTTTCCTTTTTGAGGATTAAATCGTTGTTTCCTAAAGCTAATATAATTTCCCTGTCTTAACAGATTTGAAAAGCTGGTAGATAACTAAAACATATATCTATAGTTATCCTTTAAGTTTTGTTTCAATAATTATTTGTCTCTGGAGCTGTGTAATCAAAATGATCACCTTTTTAGGAATGTTTTGATATTTTTTCATTTAGAATCTTGTTCTTTGGAAAATTAAGATATATGAAATATTACCTCTCTCTCTCTCTCTCTCACACACACACACACAGAGAGAGAGAGAGAGACAGACAGACAGACAGACAGACAGACAGACACAGCCAAGAAAAAAGAAGGGAAGTTTTTCTGAAAAACTACCTAGAATGCTTGGGCATGTGTTCTTTTTGATGTGTTTCCAAACTTATAAGAAATATAAATTTGTTCCCCTTCTATTGATAACATCTTAGATGTTTAGTTGTTTAAGTAAGGGCAGAGTTTCAGCAGGAGAGAACTGAACTGTCCAGCAAAAAACAAGACAGTGAATGTGTTCAAGGTAAAAGGGCTACAAATTGTCCCTTGAGCCATTTTTAAAAATGTTTTAAGATTCTGATAAACACCTTTTTTGAAGCATTAAATAGTTTGAAAGTATATTAGTTACTGCTCCAAAACAAAGGTGGACCTTTAATTTCTTTAATTTTAACAGGAATTAATATAGGCAGCATATTTAATCAATTAGTAAGTGTTTAGGTAACCTTGGAAATGTATTTACAAATAAGTTAAATGTGAGGGCAGGGTACATCGGATTGACGAACTATAAAGTTATCCGTGATTTCAGAATTCATGTATGGGAATTCTTTTCCCTCTCACCGTAAGAACATTTTAGAGGTAACTAATTTTTAGTTTTTGTATTTATTTCATTGCCTAAATTTTTTGAAATACACAAATCTGAAATCCACCCTGTTACTCCATTTTATTTATATCAGGGAAATGTTTGTATCTTATATGCAAATTTAATTGTTAAATTTAATTTGAAGAAT